CTAATGCAGAGGTCAGTTCACTAACCCAGTGGTGGCGTGGAAATCTTTTTTGTCTTTCATGTAGTTCATGTTTAATGTCTGAAAAACCTTTTGGTCAAAAAGTTCCTCAGACCCCAGGAAGAGTAGCTACTGCTATTACAGGAGCTAATGGGGATCTTGATAAACTAAACTAAGTTTTAGTTAGTGTTTATGTTTTTGTGTGTAACTTAGATTAAACACAGGAGTACACGTGCTAGCTATACTGTAATACATGAATCTTAAATTAATCAGTTAATTGAAGCCACCTGTCTTGTTTTATTGTGTAGGCCAAACTGGCTAAAAACTATGGTATGACCCGAATGGATCCATACTGTAGGATCAGACTGGGCTATGCTGTCTATGAGACACCAACTGCTCATAATGGAGCCAAAAACCCACGCTGGAACAAGGTGATCCAGTGCACGGTGCCTCCTGGGGTTGACTCTTTCTACTTGGAGATCTTTGATGAGGTGAGGAGGTCACAGAGCTTCTCTTCTGAATGGTTAGACATGGGCACAGCTTTTCAAAGATTAGCTCTATAGGGTCTTCTTCTTTGTTTTCTTCTTTTTTTTCATTTTATTTATTTGTCTGTTTCATTTTAACATTATCATATTGTGCAAGTAAGTGGACTGGTTCTTATATAGCACTTTTCTACTCTACCTGAGTACTCAAAGCGGTTTAAAACATGTTTCTATTCATCCGTTCATAGAAGCACTTTTTTAATCTTAAGTGCTTTGTAACAGTCACACTCTGATGTGGGTGTGACTGTTACAAACTGTTACAAACTGTTACAAACTGTTACAAACTGTTACAAACTGTTACAAACTGTTACAAACTGTTACATTGGAGGGCAACTTGCGGTTAGTATCTTGCTCAAGGATATTTGCCATGCAGATTGGAGCAGCTAGGGATTAAACCACCAACCTTTCAGGTTAGCAGATGAGCCAAGATCAGACAAGCTAAGCATACATACCTGGTATGCTCAGGCTGTTAACCTGATCTGACCCTGCTTAGCTTCCGAGATCAGATGAGATTGGGCATGCTCAAGGTAGTATGGCCAAAAGCTGTGAAATATGGCAATAACAGAGCTGACAGTCAGAGGGAAAAAACAAAAGGACAGCAAGAAAAAAGAAGCGGGGAGAAAATAGGAGGAATATAAGAAAAAGATGGAACACAATTAGAACAACATAATGGGTCGGGCATCGGTTTAGCTCACTGGAATGAGCAGGGGAGCATATGCAGCAAAGCTGGGAGCGGCCAGACCAGGTTCGAGTCCGACCTGAGACCCTCTGCTGCATGTCTTCCCCTCTCTCTTTCCCTCATTGTCCTTATCAAACATAAAGCCATATATATATAGAAAAAAGAAAAACATAATAGGTCATCCACTGGTGCACCTGTACGGTATCATCCAAAAAACAATCTGCATTTGTAAGAGAAAATCCAATGCAATGCGATTTAAAAACAGCTACTTCAACATCCTCCAATAAAGCACAGTACTATACAAAATATGCAAGAAAACTCTTCCTTCTAAAGGTGAAAGAAATTGTTTGTCTTTTACCACTTGGAGGCAGAAACACATTGTTGAGTATGAGCAGGCTACAAAGGTGGAGGTTAGCAGCTGGTAATGTGCTAGCCAAGTAAACAGCTCTGTGGAGGTTACAGGAATACTCCTCTAGCTCTACGTATGTCAGGGGGGTGAAATGGTGGATGGAAATTACTTTTGAATAACCCTAATATTTTTTTCAGTTTTATTATGTGACAGTATTGTGAACGCTAAAAAGTTACAAGGTTATTTGTTAAGCAGTAATTTTTTACTTAGGATTTCCAGGGGAAAACTATCTGGGCTGCTTTTATGCTTAGATTTTATTTGCATAGTATTCCTGGACATAATGCCGTGTCAGTGCTATTACAATTCTCCTAGCACCTTGTTTCTGTAGTTTCACCCTTCAAATGAGGAAATGTGTTGTCAAGGATGGACAAAGTAAATGAAACTACAGTTGAAACTATGTTTTCTTACATTCTGTCTCTATCAACAGTGCATATTTACTGATGATACAGGGTGTAATCGAAAGGTTCAGGGAAAAGGCCCATAAAATCTAAAGATCCTGTTCTAATGCGCCTCTGGACCATCTTCAGCATGACTCTTACCTTTTAGATCTCTCGGGGGAAGTCCTGTTATGTCCCTTTGTACCTGTTCTTCTGAAATACTTGCTGGATGTTCTCCAAACTGCTTGGCACTAACAAGAGACCCCACTCTCACCGCCAGTTATGATCCATTATCACAAAATGTAGTCAATTTGAAACAGAAGTTGAAAGTTTATCTGCTTGAGGTTGAGGTCTATGGTGAAATTACATCAGCGCATCAGTGACTGGCAGTTTTTCTTTTAATTAATAAATTTTTTAACGATGGCTGCCCCTCACTGAGCCTAGTTCTGCTGGAGGTTTCTTTGTGTTAAAAGGGAGTTTTTCCTTCACCAAGGAAAAACCAAGTGCTCGCTCATAAGTGGTTGTCTAGTCGTTGGGTTTTCTTGTAGGGTCTTTACCTGACAGTATAAGGTGCCTTAAACTGTTGTTGATATTTGGTGCCAAACAAGCTTGAAGGAGAGACGGCTAAATTTAAATCAGGCAAGCTGTTTGTTATGGGCCTCTTCCCAGAACGTTTTGGTCACATCTTATATTCTGAGCTGAACTGTTGTGTGAATTGTTTTCATACTCTGGTAATTTCCTTGTCTTAAAGCCTTACAAATGAAGAAACCGTTGAATTTGAACTCTGCTGTTAATGATCCAGCAGTATACATTTGCATTTATCCACTGACCTGATAATTGTTTCCATGTGTTGATGTACAGAGAGCATTTTCTATGGATGACAGGATAGCATGGACACATGTCACCATCCCTGAAGGCCTAAGGGAGGGCAGAGTGGTGGATGAGTGGTTCAGCCTGAGTGGACGGCAGGGTGACGACAAGGAGGGCATGATCAACCTGGTTATGTCTTTTGCTGTGAGGACATTTACACGCACCCTTCATCAGATAAGATGGAAAGTGTCACACGTCTGTGTTAAATCACAGATTTAGTTTTGGTTATGCTGTTACTATGGATCCACAGTCAGTTTATTATTCCCGGAAGTATTTGGACAATGACACAGTTTCCATAAATTGTTTTGTATAGTGTAACAAAACTAATCTTGAAAGCTTGGAACATGATAGCCTGTAATATATATTATTCATTTTGATTTAGTTTTAAGGAAAAGGCTTTAAAAATGATCAAGTGCTGCTTCACTGTCAGGAAATATCTTGAAAACCATCTTTCATTTCTGTTTCATTTATTTCCATGAAGTGAAATTATTAACCCTGTCTTTGTGCCAGTCTTTACCAGCAGGAATGATGACTCAGCCTGTCGTCTTTATGCCATCTGTATATCAACAAGGAGTAGGATACGTGCCCATCACAGGTCAGTCAGTGAAACCTTGTATCTAATAAGTTAAAAGCTGGTTCTTGTATAAGCAGTGTCATCTGTGTTCCTAGGAGTTCCTGCGGTCTACAACCAGGGCATGATGCCTATGGCAGTGCCAACTACCATGCCAGCAATTGGGAACCAGGGCCTACCATGCACTGAGCAGGACCTTAAGGCTCTGCAGGACATGTTCCCCAACCTGGATAAAGAGGTGGTTCGCACTGTACTGGACGCACAGCAAGGCAACAAGGATGCTGCCATCAACTCTCTGCTGCAGATGGCTGAGGAGCTCTAACTATACAAGACAGTCTGATACCAGACATGCTAACAGATGCATGCATTCACAGTGAAAGTAGTCTATATACAGAGCTCCACCCCTTCTCTTATAGACATGTTTATAGTCCTCCCACAGTAATATACTCTCACACACTGCAGCAGCAGCCGAGTTCCCAAAAGAGCTTTGTTTCCAGTTCAAATAAGGTCCCTAGAGCTTAAACACAACTCTGCTCCCAAGTTCTGACAGTCATTTTGGTATAGCCACTCAGTGGGTGTTCTACCCTCTAATCACACGATTGGATTTTCACAGTGCACCAAATATTTCTGTTGATGCTTTTGTAAACAGTTTGTTTTGCACCTGCCATAACTGCAGTAAATCACAACCTCCTGTATTATTGGTATCTGTAAAGTGTGTAGTGCATTTCAAATTATTCATTGTGTATATATATAGAAATGTATGCAGTAATAATAATGAGTGAATGACTACCCTGGTTAGAAGAACTCTTTTGTCCACTGTGAGTCATCTCTAACAAAGTTAATATAGGTTTACCATCACTAAGTCAGGACATGAAGGTTTGATGTTCAGTTACCTTCCAAATGAGTTTGAAGAGGTCACTTTGCTACTGATATCTGAATGGAGGACAACAGTATGACATCTGCAGAGGTTTTAAGACCCACAATGCTCCTTGGTGACTGTATATTCTAATCTTAAGTCTTCTATTCACACCTGTAACCTGCCAACATTTTGTCTGCCAAAGTTCTTCTCCATGAGACTGTCAGTCTGCAAAACTCTTAATGTTGAAAGTGCAGTGGTGTCATGTGATTCTGTTATCTCAGTGTAATACACATCTTTCAGTCCAGGAACTTTGGTATTCCATTGGTGTTTACTGATTTCACAATATTCAGAATATTTATGATTCAGCATGAATTGCAGTCATATGTCACTAGACAAGAACAAGTAGTGCACATGTTTTTGCTACCTATGATGCGCCTTGAGGCGACTTTTGTTGTGATTCGGCACTATATAAATAAAATTGAATTGAATTGAATGTTTTTAAGTGAGAAGGTGATTTAGAAGCCAGCCGATAGCAGATGTAATGGAAATGGAATATAACATTTCTGTAAGATTGTTCCCTTCGCAATGTCAAATTTCTCTTCAAAAAGTCTTAAACCTCCATATTTTCTTTTATTTTGAAAAACAAGTGTTTTTCAAACTTTTATGTTCAATCCCCACAAAGACTTGGTGTAAATGTTCATGTTGCAGAAAGACTTTAATGTTCATCACCAAGAAAAGACAGTTTACATCACAGTGGTATGTTGTGATACAGAAAAGGAGCATTTGTTTAACCAGAGATAAGAAAATGAGGCACACTCAGTGTCGAGGTGGTCGAGCCATTGTAAAGCATTTAAGTTACTGATGATCAGCGTCTCCTGCGGCGCTGTGGTTTGGGCGTTGTCCCTTCCACGCATTCTGTTTTGCTGCACTGGCATGACTGAACCATGGTGTAGCTGTGCTGCAGCTTAGACCCATCAGCACAGGTAAGCTCCACCTGCTCCACACTTGTGGTGGCTTCTTGGCAGCACTCGCAATTGTGTACCATTGTGTTGGCTTCCATAGAGTACCTGAACACACACACAGAGAAAGACCAGTTAATGAAGTCTGCACTAGTTACAGTAACTAATTAACAGAAAAATCTGAATGGTCTGTACAATGCCTAATCCTGTGAGTGGGTGATGTTTAAAGATGATCATTACTTTATTGTTGCACTCATATATACTAGTTCTTATTCATTATTCATGAGTTTGCCTACAGCAGATAAATAATAGTGTATTCTTTGGTATGCAATTAAAAACAGTGAACATGTAGCAGCCAGTTAAGGGAAATGAAGGTGCTCTCGGTTAAATTTCAAATAATAGACTCACATGGAGAAACTGTCACAGTGTCCAGCGCAATATGTGATGTTAACTGGCTGTGCGCTCTTGCAGTTGTTCAGTTCAAGGATTCTCTGCTCCTTCTGGGTCTTACACAGACTTATATTGCCTGGAACATATAACAACAGTTGCACACTCACGTGAGGCACATTTTTAAACTTTGTTCTTAACATGTATTTAGTTATTTAGTTTGATGGCTTACAGGTTGGGCAGCACCCACTGGCATCTGTTGTTTCAGTGCCCTGGAGGAGGAAGACATTTCATGTGTGAAATATTCAGCAGTAAAATGCAAAATCCACCAATCTGATCTGTAAAAGTCTAATAAACTCACAGGTTCACAGTCCAAGGGGTTAAAGGGAGGACAAGTAGCCTTGGTTTCCTTGGTAACAAGCTGTCCGTTGAGCTTCTCACAGGTATATTGCACACATTTGTCATTAGGAGGTGTGTAAGAGCTGTTGACCTGTAAAACCATGTAAAACATCAATTCTGGCTCAAAACACAGGGTACCTGTGTCATCTCATTTCAAAAATACTTTTTTGGCTTTGAATTTATAAGCTTTTGTTTTTTAGGTCCTAAATTGCTGATTAGTTTTTAAGAACGAAAAAGAAAGGAGTCCTGCTGTGGTGCTTCTAATGCTAGCATTTATTCGCTGTTGGCTGCAGTACTGACCTCAATAACATGCACCGTCACGTTGTCAGGCGTGGTGAAAATACAGTCCATCTGAACACATGTTCCACAACACTTTCCTGGTTCAGTCTGATATTCATAACCCTGCGAAAGAGTGAGATATGAAGAGTGAGAGAGCTTTGTAAGGAAAGAAGTATGTGTGTGTTTGTGTAGACCTGGGGATGCTGGAATATGCTTCACTGTGGCTGAATTAAAACATGTCTGCATGTGAAGGACCACTTATCACAAATGCTTGAATACAGTTGTTGCTAAGGGGGCACAGCCAGTTAGTAGGTTGAAGGGCCAATGACTTTTTAGCATCGTCAGGCATTCTTTTCTTTTCATTATTTAAAAACTGTATTTAATATTTACTTAAGTTATTTTTATCTAATTTAAAAATGTATTTGACTACCTTAAACATCTAAGTGTGACAAATATGTAAAAACCTAAGAAATCAGTAAAGGGCTAAAAAGGTTTTATCATTACTATTTGCACAACAAAATGAAAGAAGAAAGCCAGTATATAAAGGATAAGTTAAACACTTATGTACTTAGAGGCTAACTTATTCGTTAATGATGCCTTCATAAAGTTCTTAAAGAGTAGCGTTTCAAAATCCACAGTGCTTACTAACATTTAGTTCCTTATCTGAAACGTACTTTTAATTCTTCTCTCACCTTAAAGGTATAAAGGCCAACTTTCTATTGGACGGCTCCACCTCATTAAGAAAACATTTGAACAACAGACGGGTGGTGTTTCTATGTGCCCAGTAAACGTTGTGCACCTGAGTGATATTAGTGATATCCAATCTCAGTGACATCATAGCGAGTTACTACTAAAACAAATAGCAGAAATGCTGTTTAGAGAAGTCTGAAGGATTGCGTGTGCATACATATGTGGCCTCATTATTTGAAGCTACAGTTGTGTTTAATGTAACATAGCAATACCATTTCAGCAATGAACATTATTTTCTATTGCAGAAAATAAGAATAGCTCTGCTTCAGTGTTTTGTTTTGGAGTTTTTTAACCAAGTTTCCCAAAGCTGTTCATTTCAATTCACATCTAAGGTTCTAGTTTTTTGGTGCTATTGTTCTGGACCTTATACTGCGATTTGCTCAGGCTGGCTTGCTGGTGTGAAGTGTGGGGCGATGATTCCTCTTTATGATGTAATGAATGTGTCGTGCGAGTTGGCATGTGAATGAGCTTACAGCAGAACAGTTTTCGTTGCAGACGACAGGTTTGCAGATGGCGATGTTCAGCTTGGTGACAGGATCCATTTCGGGGCCACAGTAACATTCCTGGCAGGGCCCGGGCGTAAACGACTCTGACGTTGTTGATATTTCTCCAGCTCCCGATGGTGTTGTTGTTGTTACTGATGCTTGTTCTACAATTGATTGTGCTTCTGGTGCTTCCAGCGGGGGTTCTGATAGTGTGTCTGGTGTTGGGATCTTGGTACCAGGCTAAAGAATTGTATGTTATATATTATATTAATTGCTTCAAGGAATATTTCATACCTCTATATCTATTTTAAGCCTTATCGTAATGATGAGTATAAAACAAAGTTCAGCACAGAGAGAGTTAGCTGGCTTGACAAAATCTAAAACACCAGTCAAAGATAACATATATAAAGGGATGTTTTACATGTCAACTGAGCACTCCCTAGTCCAATCAAAGATCGTATCAGTGAAGTGAGTAATAGAGATCTATAAAGAACATTGACATAAAAAAAAAACACTTTTCCAACAAATAGGAGAGACTGGTGATTTCATCGCCACAAGTGCGGTAAAATTAACTCAAGCTATGAGCACTTCATGCGGTCTCTGTGCTGCTGTTTATTTCTACCTGCACATTAGAACCCTATCACTTTGAACTGCAGGGCTGAATACACGTTAAAGCTACTTGGTGTGTTCAGCTGTGACACTCTTCCATGTGAAGTTTTGCCTACAAATGTAACTGATTTACTTGTTTTCCAATAGCTGCGATTGAAATGAAGACCTAACCATCCATCTGAATACATACATTCCAGCGAAAGAGCCTCACACAATTTTCACTGTTGTAACTTTACAGCTGGGCCTCATTCAGTTTTCAGTCAGGCACAGTTTAAAAAGTTGAATATACTGATGTAAGTCATACATACATCAAGTGCAGTATGCTGCAGTATGCTGCACTTGATGTATGTGTATAATTCAGGACAACAGATGGGCCTTGTTTGATGTATTAGGGAAAACCACTTCTTGTTTCCAGAGTTTGAACTGTGTGCTTACCTTGTATTCAGTCATGTTATAGACACATACACCTTTAGGAACTGCAGACACAAAGAGACATGGGTTTAGCTAACATTCACACATATGCATTGATGATCTGTTGTAGTTTACATTGTACTAGACTCCATCCATTTATTCATTCACTTCCATTCACAGGCTGATGGATTAGAGTGACATACCACAGTTGTAGGATAGACAACAGGTGCCATTGGTAATGCTCAGTTGGAAGCCCAGCAAGCACGTGGGAGGAGGAGGACACAGGTTTACGTTGCATTCTGTTGCAAAAGGAACGAGAACTTGTCAGAATGTGATGATGAAGATTTGCACAACTTTCCATTTGATAACAATAACTTGAAGAACCAGGAAAGCAACTGTTTACATGATTTAGTACAAGCTGGGAAGGGACTTTGCTGAGCCAAGCTCTCTTTTAATTTAATTCAATGAAATGAAATTACATTTTATTTATATAGCTCCAAAACACAAAAACAGTTGCCCCAGGGCACTTTATGTTGCAAGGGTAAGACTTTACAATATTGCAAGGTCTCACCCCAACAGTCAGATAACCCCTATGAGCAAGCACTTTGCTGACAGTGGGAGGAAAAACTTCCTTTTAACAGGAAGAAGAACCAGCCTCAGGGAAGGGCTTATATCTGCTGTGACTAGCTGTGAGTGAGAGGAGAAAGACAGGACTGAACACAAGCTGTACAAGAGACCCAAAGATTAATAATAACTAATGATTAAATGTAAAGTGGTGTATGAAAGTGTATGCCTTCCATTTAACTTTTAAATCTCTTACGAACAACAAGTAAGCCAGCAGTCTGAGAGTGAAGGACTGTGTTGACCTGTATTGACCTTAGTACTGTGACCTCAGTACAGTACCTTGGTACTGTGAGGTGCACACATACTCATATGTGCCATTGCCAGAAGGTTGGTTGTGTATTCCAGCACAGTGGAAGGGCTGGACAGGGCCATAGAAGGTCCTTAACCCACGAGTAGGACCGGTATCTTCTACTCAAGACTTATGATGACACCCGGACTGCCGGACTAGCATTGGGATGAAATCCTTGGATCTATTATCAGACCCTGGTGCACAACGATGAACAGGCTCATGTGGATGCAGATAGTTCCTCAAGGATAAAGGAATTAATATCATTGAATGGCTTCCAGGATTACCTGACAAAGTCCCATATAACACCTCTACAACATTACGCTTTGGTCCATCCAACACCACCAGGTTGCACTTTAGACTGTCCAAGAACTCAGTTATACCCTAATACAGACCTGGGAGGAGTCCCTCAGGACACAGTCGGTGATCCACTACCCTGCACCGTTAAGTGCTTGGCATTTCCCATCATGGTGTCCCCCAGGAGATCCCACAGGAGACCATCTATATATCTGACATTGCCAGATTTAAGCACATGGGCTCCGTGCAAACAACTAAATACCATTTTGAGTTGCTGCTAAGAAATTTTACAAAATGGACTAGCCTGCCACATGTCTTTGAATTAAGCCATATGTAGGTTGATAATCTCCATTTTCATCAAAATGCTTTTAGTCCTAGAACATTCATCTATATCAGTTAAGAAAAGCAGCGTGATCGTTGTCCCTGAGATCTGATGTTTGTTCCAAAACATTGTAATCAACAGATTAATGTGAATGTAGTCTTTTTTTTTCTAAACAACCATGTGATGATTTCAAAGAACAGCAATAAGTACATTGGCACAAGCTCTACCGATCTTGATTTTTCTGTGATTTTGAGTTTTCGTTTTCATTATTATTCACTGACTGAGATGGAGATTTCAATCACACAGGACCAAGCTGTCTCTGAAAAGCAAACAGAAATGCAAATGTGCATATTTTCCATTAAGCTAAATAACTACGTTATGAATGTGCCAGGCATGAGACTACCTCCAGGTGTTATCTGGCATATTAGGCTCAGAAGGTGGAGTGGGTTGTCCACGAACCAGAAGGTTGTTGGATTGATACCTTACTCTTCTAGTTTGAGTATTCAAGTATCCTAAGTTGCCGCTGATGCATCCAATGGAGTGTGTGTGTAAATGTCAGAAAGCACAGAGGGATGGATGAAAGTGCTGCGTGAATAATGTCTGTGATCGACTGGACGAGTCTTGTAACAAAAACGCTTTGAGATGAAAATTGAGCATAAAGACAGTACTAGTCCCAGGAAAGGCAATTTTCATCAGTGTCAGTCATCCATTTGTGTGATATCAACTGCAAGACAGTGTTTAAAGCTAGTTCAAAGACACTAAAACTGACCACATGACTGTGTTGTGCAGCAGTTCACTGTATTGTTGACCAGTTGCTGGCCAGGCTCGCTGCAGTTAGGACTTTGTACAGACTGGCACTGAACAGGCTCACACTGGACGCTCATGGAGTCCTTGTCACAAACACAGGTTTGACAGTCACTTGTCCAAGTCTCGCCCAGCTGTTTAAAAGAAACACACCGATTCAGATTCACACATCTTATTCATTGTTAAGAAGGCATGAACATAAGAGCAGAGTTCTCACCTGTTTGGGTTTTCCATCAGGTCCAACACAGGCTGAAAGGCAATCACAGACAGTAGCAGGTGATGTTTGGGAGAAAAATATTTCAAAGCCCAGCAAAATAGTGTTCTGCAGAATCTGGTCTTACCACAGGTGTCAACACATATGTCATGTACTGTGTTGAATAATGTGGTACCATGAGGACAGAAACAACCTTCCTTAGTGTTGTTACTGGATGCCACTGTTTGGTATGCCATGTTGTATCTGATGAGAGAAAATGAATTAGCCCATCA